TGGGTTTAGGTGGTTTTGGGGGTTTTTTTTTTTTTTTTTTTTTTTTTTTTTTGGTTGGGTTTTTTTTCATGGAAAAGAAGAGGAAAGAAAATAGATTTGAATTCTCAAGGGTCAAAAAGTTAGGCAAACAGGGAAGTGGGATGGAGTTGGGCATGCTACCGTATGGCACGGACACATGGCAGACATCCAGGGGTAAAAGATAATAACAGTGAGGGGAAAAAATTCCAACAACTGGCTGCCTCCACTCAGAACGGGACACAGAGCAGCTCTGCTGCTTGGCAAGCCCCTGGCTGAGATGGAAGCGAGATGAAGGAGACCATGTCATAGGATTTGGGGGTCAAACACAGCACCAGATGACTTTGGGGTGAACCTGCCCCAAATGTGCAAGATTTGGTCCATGCCCATGTGGATGCTCCTTGCAAACAAGAAATCCCAAGGCACACGCTCCTCCAAATGGGATTTGGGGGTCTGTCTGCCTCACTGCTGCTCTGCCATCCCACACCATCCCACCCCACAGCTTCCCTCCAGGATTAGTGACTGCAAGACCAAAAGCTCCTGGAGCATCCTCCAGAGGGAACGTTATCCCTTCTTTCTGCTGGACATCACAGAGGCCCCACGAATGGAAGGAATAAGAGGTTTGTGCCAGGATTCTGGCCATGAGGATCCACAGGCAGGTGCTGAGTGCTGTCAGCTTTGTCACTGGAACAGGGGCTCGGCTCCAGCTGGGATTCTCCTGGTGATGCTCATGGCATCCTTCAGCTCCTGGCGTGCCTCAGCTCAGCATCCCCCAGGCTGGTTCCCCACCCAAGGGTGCAGGATGACAGTGATGCAGCACAGCCCCAGCCAGCCTGGATGCTCCCACAGCCATTAATAACTCCCATAACAATGTGAGTGGAGATAAGGACATGGATAATTAAACCCTGCTCTCCGGGGGCTGCTGGGGTCCCCCCTGTGCTTCCCAGCCCTGGGGGTGTTGGCAGGAGGCTCCGTGCCAGCCTGTGAGCTGCCTCCATGGAGATAAACACTGGGACAGGCCCTGTTTGATCCACACCAGCAACTCCTCCTGCCTCCAAGATGAGAAATAATATGGGAAAAATGGATCTGAGTGATAAAGCACCAAGGATTTTCCTCAGGTCAGCATTTTCCTTCCTATGAGCTGCAGCCCTGCTGGTGAAATACAGCTGGGGTGATGCCTCCGTGTGCTGTTCCCTGTTTGGAGCTGCCAGCCTGGGATGAAATGGTGGGAGCAGAGCTTTGGGAAGGGAAGAACAAACCTTTGCAACAGCCAGGGCAGCACAGAGACCAAATTCCTGGCTGGAATAACTACACAGAGCTAATACCACACTGCCCACCCACTGGGAAACACCACCCTGGGTTGTGGGGCTGGCTGTGCCACCACATGTGAGATATTGGGGTGTGGTCCTTGCTCCATGGATCACATCTTCCACTGGGACAGGTTAGACCTGACACTGGCCAGCAGCACAGATGGGTGACGGGTGACACGAGGGACACATGTGCCTAAACAGGACCTGAAGGCACTGCACACTCCAGGGCCATGGTGCAGGGTCACCCACCAGTGGCACAGCCTGGGAAACAGTGTGTCCCTGCCCTGGCACGCTGGGCATCACACCCACTATCATACCCATCTATCACTCCATACCCTCACCCACTACATATGCAGTTTATACATATATTAATTAAATAAAGAAATACAAATATAAGTGCTACCACTAGCTGGCGTCATTGGCCATCCTTTAGTGGCACCGGCAGTGCTGCAGCAGGATCACAGAACCACAAAATATCCTGAGCTGGAAAGAACCACGAGGATCCAGGAGTCCAACCCCTGTCCCTGCACAGACACCCCAACAATCCCACCCTGTGCATTCCTGAGAGCGCTGTCCAAGGGCTCCCAGAGCTCTGGCAGCCTCGGGGCTGTGCCCATTCCCTGGGGAGCCTGGGCAGTGCCCGGCACCCTTTGGGGGAGAACTTTTCCCTGATATCCAACCTAAACCTCCCTGACACAGCTCCAGCCGTTCGCTGGGTGCTGTCCCTGCTCACAGAGAGCAGAGATTGGAGCTGCCCCTGCACTGCCCCTCCTGAGGATGATGCAGGTCAGGATGAGGGCTCCTCTCAGTCTCCTCTTCTCCAGGCTGAACAAACCAAGTGTCCCCAGCTGCTCCTCCTCCTCCAGATCCTTCACCATCTCCATGGCCCTCTTTGGATGCTCTAAGAGGGACAGGGGCAGTTCTGAGTGCTCCTCACCTCCTCCTGAGCAGACACAGCTGCAGGGAGCACCTGTATCCCTGGGGATCACCAGCTAATCCTGGTGCCAGGGCCATTCCACCCAGCCCACGTTCCATGCTGCTGCTGCCTGGCTCCAGGAGGAGCACAGGTCACCCGTAGTGCATCCGTGGGACACCCACAGTACCTCCACAGTGCTGTCACCTCTCCACCACCATGGCCTCTCCTCTGCCACCCCATGCCAACCTGCTCAAACACATCCACCAGCGCCCTACGAATCCCTCCACGAGTCAAAGTCAGCCTTAAATCAAATCATCCCCAACAACAATGACATTAATTATGCTTTTAACACATTTTACTGCTTCCCCCCCTTCCCTTCACACCACATCTGTGTGAACAATATCCAAAAGATTTACGGTTTTCTCCCGTAATTACAGACACACAGCCAGCTCACTTATCAAAATACTTGCTGAGCAATCAGGCTCTGTTACAGTCTCTGCCAGAGATTTGTGTTGACAGCAGCCATTCAAAGCAAAAAATGTCGAATCAGGACTTATGTGGCTCTTGGAAAGTATTCCACAAAGAGTTTGCCTGTCGAGAGACATGTGGACATGGAACAGACGGGGATGAACCGTGGGAGGGGGGATTTGGGGAGCAGGAGGGGAGCAAGAGAGGATGCTGTGGAAAGCAGAGAGAGGAGAAGGAGGAGTGCAGAGAGCACAGGGAAGCAGTTTTGGGGCGTGCATGTGTGTGCATCCACGTGCAGGCGTGTGAGCATGGGGAGGTGGGGAGGGAAGATAACTGGGTTCTGGAAACCAAGCTGACATTTGGTTCTCGTAGCACAGGAGAAAATTTAATGAGGACAAAAATATGTCTCCCTAATTCCCCTAAGAAATCATTAAAACATTTTGTTATTCCTAAATGTCTGGAAAATGAATTAGTGGCCCTGCAGGAGCCTTTCCGCGCATTTTCAGCCGTTTGCAGCTCTCAGTCCCCGACGTGCCGGGGGACGCTCCGTGCCTGGCGCACACAAACCCCCTGAAGTGGGGAGCAGCAGAAGAGGGCTCCCAGCTGATCCAGCTCTGCCAACACAAACCTCAAGGCTGCCCCGTGCCTCAGTTTCCCCCTCCCAGAACGGCACAGCGCCCCGGCCACAGGGTGACAGCTGAAGGATGTCCCCGTGGCTCGTGCTGCGAGCCGGCGCTCGGCCGTTTCGGTCAACTTACCGTCAAACAGACAAGTGGGAATAGCCGCAGTGTTACTACACGGGCTGAGCAAATGTATTCCTTTCCTAATGTCAAGATGCATTTGGCTCAGGGGCTGAAACACAGCGATGGCAAAAGCTGCTTCCTCTCCTCTCTTCGGCTGGGATCTCCACAGCACCATGCGCCGGCCGCGGTCGGCGACGCCAGCCGTGCCAGGGACGGTGCCAGCCGTGCCAGGGACGGTGCCAGCCGTGCCAGGGACGGTGCCAGATGTGGCAGGGACGGTGCCAGCCGTGCCGGGGATGGTGCCACGCTCCTCGCTGGCTCCTCTGGGCACCGGCACGCGACTCGTTAGGCAGCCAGGTCGCCACCGCGCTGCTTACCTGGAGCTTCGAGCAATTGCTTGTAAACGCTCAGGAAAGCCTTCTCAGCCTCCTTGCTTCTCTTACTAAGTGCAATCACCTGCGGGGAGAGGGATAAAAGGGTCAGGGATGGGCTTGGAGGAAGGAACCGGCGGGATCGGCGCCACCGCAGCCGGCACACGGCTCCGCGCCCGCTCCGTGCCCCGCGCAGCAGCTCGCTGCCCGTGGCTAAACTCCTCGTGCCGCTGCCATGTCACGTCTCCCTAAATCATTGATGTGCTCTGAGTAAATGAAAATTATAATTTAATGTCGGCGCTTAAATAAGAAATAAAGAAGCCCGCCCGTTGTTGTGCCTGCTGGGCCGGATCTGGAGCACGGCATTCCCCAGCCGCCCTCCCAGGGTGGTGCTGGGGGTGGAGGTGATGCTCACACCAGGACTGGGCACGTCCTCCTGTCCCTGTCCCCCTGGGCTGCTGGGGTACTGGGGTGCTGGTGACCCTCGCACCAGCCACATCCCAATAACCCAACAACATTAATCTGCTGCGTGTTCCCATCCAACATTTATGAGCATGAATCATTTACTCCCTTTAATTTTTCAAGGCACAATGACACCTCGGGGAAGGGGCTGCTGCCCACCAGGTCCCCTTGGTTACCCCTCACATCCAGCCCCACCTGGAGTGGATGGGATGGGGTAGCAGAGGAACAAGAGGGCACAGGCATCAGGGATGGAAGTGACCCATTCCCAGCTGGAAAATATCCAGCTGGAGCCAAATTGGGCACTCACACCAGCCAGTGACGGAGGAAGAGGTGCCCACCCAGCAGACACACTGTTATGACAGGGAAATAATCAATTAAATGGCTCTTAAGCCACCGATGAGCTGAACTTTGGGCCTCAGTCTGGTGGCAGCTCCCACACCGGAGCATTTTCCCCTCCTCTGTGCCAGCAGAGCTCCTGGCTCACCCTGCCAGCCCGGATTGCCATCGCTTGTCATTCCAACCCAAAGCAAACGGCTCATTTGTAATCCAGCAGCCACCTGAGCAAGCCGCCTTCTCCTCCGGAGCTCGCAGGCACTGGAGCACAAAGATCATTTTTCTATTGTTAAAATTGTATAAGCCGGGCTTTTTATAGCAGCTCGTACACAAACCTACTTTCTCAGCACCGCGGTTCCAGCAGAGGAGGAATTTGGGGGCTTTTCTTCAGCGTTCTGCAAAAATGCTTGGCTTCAGGGTGCTTTAAAATAATAACAGTGAAGAGGGGAAAGGAGGGAGGAGGCAGCCAGGAGCCTGCACTGTGCTGGAGCAGGACAGAGCTTTTCCTGCTGAATCTGCCAGTGGGGTGAGCCCTGCTGGGGATTTGTAGGGATGTGGGGACACAGCGGTGCTGGGCTGCTCGTGGCATCAGCCCTGTGTGACCTCCCCATTCCCAAGCCCTTTGGAATGCACGGGAGGGGAGCAGGAGCAGACACGGGGCCATGGGGATGCCTGGACCTGCCCCAGCTGCTCTGAAGAGTTGCATCTCCCCTGAGCTGGCATCAACCAAAGGGTGAAGAGCAAAAATCCAGCCCAAATGTTCTCCATTCCCTCTCCACCACCCGTGCCTGTCCCTGTGCACCCCTAATCCATGCCAGGGATGAGAGCTGGCCCAGGCTCCAAACCAAGCTGTGTGCACTGCATTTCCTTCCTCAAATCACATCTTAGAGACAAAGCATTTTCCAAGGGGAACATTTCACCCTCCTCAGCAATCCCTGTGGAGGTCTGAGCATCCCCAGTGCGGGGTGGGAAGGAGCCTGCAGCATCCCTTGTGCTGGGCTCCAGCACATTCCAGCCCACATCAGTGCCAGGGCACCACCAGCGTGGGCAACAGGCACATGGTGAGCCAGACACCCACTGAGCTCTCCCAGAGTCCCACTAAACTTGTAGGAAATGTCAGTAGAAAAAAAGATATTTAACATTTTCAGTGATCTTTTCCAGATGGGGGATAATTTACTCAAATGCCAGGGGAGATTTCTGCTGGAGCAGCTCTGAGTCCCGTACGGGGATGGCTCACCCAGCACTGAAACTGCTGCAATTCCTCACACAGAGCTGAATAAACACCTGGGAAAAGCCCACATCAGCCCTAAAATCAAGGTCTTATAACAAAACACCTACATTCTCACTTTCTTGAGGCAGCACCAAACCCTGCATCCACATCCAAGAAGACAACATCTGAAAACACGCTGAAAAGAGGAGGAAATGGCTAAAAATGGGGGAGCTGAGCATCTCTGGAAGCAGCCCAGGTTCAGTGGGATCAGGATGGCATCGCTCCCATTCTCCCCATCACCACGACACCCCTCAGTGACACAACCCCACTGCCCACCTGCAGAGCCCTCGGTGCCTGCTCTGAGCGAGCTCTGCCTGTGCATCAAACACCCAGGTACTCTTCATTCCCATTTTTCCCCCCTCCATCTCCCTCCACAGCCTCCGTGGGCTCAAGGTGAGGCGCGGCACGGGATCGCCGCCGCCTGATAAATTACATTTCCGCGCCGGGTCCTTTTCATGGCTGGTGACTTTCCAGCAAAGCAATTATCACAGCAGAATGCGTAATAGCCTAATTAATTACTATTGTCAGGCTGGCCTCTGTGCCATGATTATACCTTCCGAAGCCAACTTTTTAAACATTTGGAAGCAGAAATATTATTATAATTGACTGACAAAATGGTAAAACTCCCCCGGCGCAGTCGGTGCTCCTCCCGGCGCTCGGAGCGTCTGAGCATCCCCGCTCCAGAGGCGCGGGATTTGCGTCGCACCGGCGGAGAGTTTATTCTTACATCCACCAGATCAAGTGCAGGATAAGTAGTGGGTTATTTCCATCTAAATGCTGGTGGCAGTAAACCACAAATGAGCTCTTTTTCAGCGTGCGGGAACAGCTGTCGGGGGAGAAAGCGGCAACAGAGACCCCAAATGTTGAAGAAAAGTGATGAAAAAAAAATTAATTCAAGGCTTCGCTGTTTTCCTTGGGTGTTTTTTTTTGCTGATGTGTAAAGAAGTTGGGGAGAGAGAGAGAGGGTGGCAAGGAGGGGGAGGTTGGGAAGGAGCCACTGTCCTGGGAGAGCTCTGGGTGATGGGGCTGGACCACCACGAAGAACCAGGCACGTGTTGGGGTCCTTTGGTTCCTCCGTGTCCAAACAATGCCTTAAATCCTCCACAAGTGTGAACAGAGCCATTGTGCACCCACAGATTCATCCCAGGCCCCCAAAGATCCGTCACAGACACACACAAACCCCTCACAGACCCATCAAACACGCACAGACCCATCACACCCCCCACGAACCCACCGCGCACCCACCCAAACCCATCACACCCACAGCCCCCCCATCCCTCCAAAGGCAGGAGCAGCTCCCAAGATTTTCACAAGGCCAAAAAGCAATTCATGTCAAAAAGATCAATAATATAAAAATAAAGCCTGAGAATTCTAGTTAAAGGGAACATCACAGAAATATGTTGTTCACGTCCATGATTCGGAGATTAAAAAAAAAAGGGGGGGGGGAAAAGAAGAATCAATATAAGTTCTTTAGATGATGTTATTTCTAATGAGAAATACACCAAGACTGCTGCAAATAACTGCTTAACGGAGGAAAAAAAATGCATTAATAATTTACTTTCTAAAGCGCGGGATCCCGAATGGGAGAAAATTGCTGCTGGTTCTTAATTTTGTTGTAATATTTCCTGACAAGTTCAGTGATGTTTTGGCAAAGTTCTTGAGAGCAGATTGAGAGAACGCTCAGTTCATTCGTTTATTTTTCCCCTCTTTTTTTCCCACATCATGCTGACCCTGCTGCCTCAGGGAGAAGGTGTCCAAGCTCTTTCTTTCCTGTGCACCACAGGATTTCTTGGGCTGAGCACTCACAGCAGCAACAGGGAAAATATTTCAAGCTCACCCACCCTCCCCACCATAACTTAATCCATGTTTTTTCACTGACTGTTCGAGCTGGTTCTTTCCTTCTTTCTTTCTTTTTTTTTTTTCCCTCCTCTTTTTCCCTGAATTTATTTTTTTTAGTGCATTTGCTGACAGTTGGCAGCTCCGAACCATCTGCCACCAACACAAATCTCAAAATCAAAGTTTTCAGCATCCAACCCAATGAGGAACAGGCTGATTTCTGACCACCACCAGGAGAATGTGCCACCTGAGCAGGTTAATTC